GATTACTTGCAGATTCCCTGTTGTGTTCCCTCCCTCTGAGGCATCTGGTATTGGCCACTATCGGAAGACAGGATACTGGGCTAGATGGACCTTTGGTCTGACCCAGTATAGCCATTCTTATGTTCTTATGATAACGATAGGGATGTTATAATCTGCCAGGTTCCAGCTTCCAGTACAAACAATGCTAGGGGCAAACAGCCAAAAGCACACTCCGACTGCACCTGCTCAGCCTGCTATTGAACCACTCTTTGATGCTATCAAGGCTCCCAGTGTATGGCTGCATGAGCCATGGCATTAAGGGGTAGGCAGAGTCTCCAAGGATCACAATGGGCATTTCTACTTCCACGGTGACCTTCTGGTGCAGGAAGAAAATTCCCGCTTGCAGCTTCTTGAACAGACCAGTTTTTTGAAAGATGCAAACATCATAAATCTTTCCGGACCAGCCAGTGATAATGTCCATGATGATCCACAAGTGCCTGCAGAACCATGGAGAAACAACCCTTGTGGTTAATGTACTTGGAGGTTAGATGGTCTGGGGCCAGAATTGGAATATATGTGCCATCGCTCCACAGCAGTTTGGGAAGCCCATCCTTGCAAAGCCATCCACAATTCCATGCACGTTGCCCAGAGTCACAGTCTTTTGGAGCAGGATGTGATTGAGGGCCCTGCACACTTCCATCAGCACGAGTCTTAACAGTTGATTTTTCTACTAAAAAGTGATGTGACTGAATAAAAGCTGTCTGGAGTAGCCAGCTTCTACCGTGTAGTCACCACATGCTTCTCCATGGTCAAGGCATCTCTCACTCGTGTGTCCTTGTGCCACAGGGTGGATGCAAGAGCATCCCACCATGACTTTCTTCATCCAAAAGTTCTGCAGCCACTGCTTGTCATCCTGTGCTTGCATGACAATGTGATCCCATTGCTCAGTGCTTGTTTTCTGAATCCAAAAACAGTGTACCACTGTGGTCAGCATGGATGCCACAAGAAATCTAGTGTTGTACATATGCTTCATGGACTCCTTATTGTCACTTTGCTGATTCAGGAATAGCTCTACTGCCATTCGTGACGTATTAGTGAGACCTATCATCATCTTCTTCAACGGCTGGGGATCAATTCCTGCAGACCGGGGAGGCAGAGAGTGCAGCGCCAAAGCTGTTTAAACATGGAGCCAAATGCAGATGGAAGCACTGGGGTTCATAGTATCACAGAATCATCAGGTTGGAAGAGATATCAGGAGGTCATCGAGTCCAACCCCCTTCTAAAAGCAGGGCCAATCCCAATTAAAATCATCCCAGCCAGGACTTATTCAAACTGGGATTTAAAAACATCCAGGGATGGCAATTCTAACACCTCCCTAGATAATCTATTCCAATGCTTCATCACTCTCCTAGTGAAATAGCTTTTCCTAATATCCAACCTAGACCTACCCCATAGTAACCTGAGACCATTGCTCCTCGTTCTGTCACCTGTCACCACTGAGAGCAGCCTCTCTCCATCCTCTTTGGAACCCTCCTTCTGGTAGTTGAAAGCTGCTATCAAATCCCCCCTCACTGTTCTCTTCTGTAGATTAAATAAGCCCAAATCCCTCAACCTCTCCTAAGTCAAGTGCTTCAGCTCCCTAATCATTTTTGGTGCCCTCCACTGGACTTCCTTCAATGTCCACATCCTTTCTGTAATGAGGATCCCAGAATCAGATGCAATACTCCAGATGTGGCCTTACCAATGTCAAATAAAGGGGAATAATCACTTCCCTAGTTCTGCTGGCAATGCTTCTATTAATGCACCCCAATATGCTATTAGCCTTCTTGGCTACAAGGGCACACTGTTGACTTATATCCAGCTTTTTGTCCATTGTAAACCCCAGGTCCTTTTTTGATGAATTGCTGCGTAGCCAGTCAGGCCCCAGCCTGTTACAGTGCTTGGGATTCTTTTGTCCAAAGTTCAGGACTCTGCACTTGTCCTTGTTGAAACTCATCAGATTTCTTTTGGCCCAATCCTCCAATTTGTCTAGGTCACTCTGGGCCCTATCCCTACCCTCCAACGTATCTATCTCTCCCCCAGCTTAGTGTCTTCCGTGAACTTGCTGAGGGGCAATCCATCCCCTCATCCAGATCATTAATAAAGATGTTGAACAAAACCATCCCCAGACCTGACCCCTTGGACACTCGGCTTGATACTGACCACCAATCAGACATTGAATCATTGATCACTACCCTTTGAGCCCCACAATCTAGCCAGCTTTCTATCCACCTTACACTTCATTTATCCAATTCATACTTCTTTTAACTTGCTTGCAAGAATACTGTGAGGGACCGTATCAAAAGCTTTGCTAAACTCAAGGTATATCACATCCACTGACTTCTCTATATCAACAGAGCCAGTTAGCTCGTCATAGAAGCTAATCAGGTTGGTGAGGCATAACTTGCCCTTGGTGAATCCATGTAGACTATTTGGCTACGTCTATACTGGTCCCTTTTCCGAAAGGGGCATGTTAATTTCACAGGTCGTAATAGGGAAATCCGCGGGGGATTTAAATATCCCCCGCGGCATTTAAATAAAAATGTCCGCCGCTTTTTTCCGGCTTTTAGAAAAGCCGGAAAAGAGCGTCTATACTGGCCGAGGATCTTATTCCTACTTTGAATAAGATCCTCCGGAAAAGGGCACTTTTTCCGGAGGATCGGGGCCAGTGTAGACGCTCTTTTCCGGCTTTTTTAAAAGCCGGAAAAAAGCGGCGGGCATTTTTATTTAAATGCCGCGGGGGATATTTAAATCCCCCGCGGATTTCCCTATTACGATAGCTGAAATTAACATGCCCCTTCCGGAAAAGGGGCCAGTGTAGACGAGCCCCCTCCGGAAAAGGGCACTTTTTCCGGAGGATCGGGGCCAGTGTAGACGCTCTTTTCCGGCTTTTTTAAAAGCCGGAAAAAAGCGGCGGGCATTTTTATTTAAATGCCGCGGGGGATATTTAAATCCCCCGCGGATTTCCCTATTACGATAGCTGAAATTAACATGCCCCTTCCGGAAAAGGGGCCAGTGTAGACGAGCCCTTTCTGATCACATTCTCCTCTTCCAAGTGCTTCAAAATGGATTCCTTGAGGATACCCTCCATGATTTTTCCGGGGACTGAGGTAAGGCTGACTGGTCTGTAGTTCCTTGGACTGTCCTTCTTCCCTTTTTTAAAAATGGGCACTACATTTACCTTTTTCCAATTATCCGGGATCTCTCCCTATCTCCCTATCTCCATGAGTTTTCAAAGATAATAGCCAAAGGATTTCATCCTTAACAACCAAATAAATTAAGAGAATGAGACACTGAAACAAAGTTTTAAAATCCTTTAGTAGGAAAGGCAACTTGTTCTAAAAAAAACCCACACTGGAGATACGAAGATAGGTTTGTGCCATATATTGTTTTAATTAGTGAAATGCACATATTGTTACCAGCTGGAAGCAAAACCTTAGATCTGAACAATCCTCTCAATTTGGGAAGCTTGGATCTGGTGGCTGTCCCCTACTTCTACACTGTACTAAAATTCCAGACTAAGCTTCAGCTGAAATGCTAGGAAAATTTTGATTCTGATATAAATCTAAATTTTGAAGCTCAGGGGTGAGACTATGGGTATGTTTACACAGCAGTGGTTTGGAATAATGTCTGTTATTCCGAAATAACTATGCGAGCATCTACACAGCTAGTCTGTTTATTTCAAAATCATTTTTAAATAACAGGCGGTTTATTTCAGCATTTGTAAACCTCATTCCACGAGGAATAATGACTCTTCGGAAATAGTTATCTCGGAATAGCAGTACTGTGGATGCTCCACTGCTGCTATTTCAAAATAGCTCCTCCCCCAGGCCATTCAAAGTAATAACTCCCCAGTGACTCCTGGGGCTCTAAATGGAGGTAGAACATCCGCATTAGAGAAGCCTGACTCAGACTAATTTCCAGGCTTCTCTGTAGTGCAGATGCACTATTTAGAAATGAGCTATTTCAGAGAATTTCTTCCAGAATAGCTTATTCCAAAATAATCATGCAGTGTAGACCGAGCCTATATGTGCTATTTTTAAAATCTGTAGTAGGAATCTAGGCAGAAGGGAAATAGGGTAGGTTGTTGTTATTATTTACAATTTAGTTATTATTCAAGGCAGAAGTTTCATAGTAAACCAGAGCACAAATTAAGTGTCTAGCCTATTTGTGGATTAAAACGTGAGCGTGACTGCATGTGTGGATGTGAGGGATCTTATGTCTTCCTGGCTTTCTGCTGCAGAATGAATCCCAGCTGCTTGATCTCTTCAACCCTGGCAATCTGTTCACATAAGGTTTAATTCTGAAGTCACTCTATGCAAGGGAATGGTCTGGAAAGGTTTTTTTAATTATTACTAATTAAAGCTGAGCTGTTTCAAGCTCAAATTAACAAGGAGTTTGCCTGAGCTCTCTCCACTGGCACAGAGCATCCCATCCCCCTAAACTACATGTTGAACTTAAGATGAACTGTTGTGCCTACAAGGTTTTCTGCAAAGCCCAGTCAATGTGATCCCATGTTGCAATCTTAATTCCAGTGGAAGAAATTTTTTTCGGGGAGTGCCGGGATAAGTAAGTGAAAGGCAGGCTAAGAACAAAAGTGAAACCTCTCCATTATGTTTGTCCCAGTTGGGTGAAATAAAAAAGGCAAACAATGAGCATTAACAGTGGAAAGGAAGAAGATTTTTAAAAAAATCTTCTTTAGATAATGTAAATTTATTATACAAGAATTTTAAAAAACCACATAGGATGTTAATCTGACAGTATCTTCTCAAGTAGTTTCACTTTCTTGCTAGTCAGTTCCATGGGCTTGAAAAGCCATCAGGCTTCTGCCAGACTTAGCTATACCTCAGCAAGATCATGTGTAATCCTCTGACCCAGTGAATATCTCAGAGGTCTGCATCATTTGATAATAGCATCATATATCTGACAAAGAGCTCCACCCCTTACCAGTGAGCAGCAGCAGCTTTTAGGGGAAGATAGAGGAGAGGCAACTGGGCATGTAAACTGGATGTAGAATAACAGCTGAAAGGAGGTTGCTGCCTGTCTTTGTTAGGGGAAAGAAGGGGAGACTTGCTACTACCTCTGTCTTGGGAGGCTTCAACAAGCTGATGAGGTAGGTAGTCGGATCCCCTATGCATGGGAGGGCAAGGGGAGAAAGAGGGAAAACACTTAGCTTAGTAGCCTGGCGCATATTTATTGAATATATCACCCTTTATCCTAACTGTAGGTGCAGCTTCTGTTTGCTCTGGGGTGTTGTATATTTTAGCATCACCCTTACCTCCTATACCCCTTAGATTAAATGATCTGCAGGAGTAATAGGGCGTGGGGAACTATTTGCCTGCCTTTATTTGTGGGGTGTGTGTGACACTTGATTGTCTTTAATTTTAGGCTGAGTAATAGCATCTGGGCTGCTGATCTCTTTGTGTGCACAACAGATGTGGAGGGCTGGTGAGAGAGCAACAAAATAAAGATACAAATATTCTGCTCTTCTTGTTCTTACTTGCTATATTAGCAAGCAGCCTGTGCTTTCAGACATATAGCAGGGAATAATCACTTGCAATTTTTCTGCTTACATGCAGGGAGTACTAAAGCTATTGCTCTTATTAGTCCCGTGCACTGCAGTGTCTCAGTTGGATGTTTTCTTTCTGTCACCTGTTTAATAGTTCAAATGTCAGTACTGATGTCCTTAGCACATGTATGTGGATGTAATATTGTTGGTTGACTGTACAGGAACTTTACCATGCTCCAAGTGTACTGAATGGAAGAAGAGTTTTAAAGTATTTGGATTTATAAAAAATCATTAAATATAGTTGTGTTGCAGAATAATGGTTCTAGATCCCACCTTCTAGCCTAAATATTTGATTCCATTATGACTTGTGGTTCACATAATGTAACTGAAGCTACAGGAGTTTCTCTTGATTTACATCCATATAACTGAGAATAGAATTTGCCTGGTAGCGAGTCTCTCAGGGTACATCTACACAGCACATTATTTCAAAACAACTAGCATTATTTTGAAATAACTTAGTCCGTGTCTACACAGTGGGCAGTTATTTTGAAATAATGTCAAGCTGGAGGACTTCTTACTCTGACTCCTGTAACCCTCATTGTATGAGAAGTAAGGGAAATCGGAGGAAGAGTGCTCTTCCCAATTTCCAATAAGCTATTTCAAAATAAGCTATGCGGTTGACGTAGATCAATTTGCATAGCTTATTTCAAGTTAAGCTCTGCTGTGTAGACACACCTTCACTGTCTTTTTAAATGGACATTCAGGGCCTTGCTACTAGAAACATTAGGGCCTGGGGCTGCAAACACTTACACATGTGAGTGGTGAGCCTACCAGTGGACTTAGCCTCACAGTGAAGATGTCCCTCATTTAAAGCCAGAGATATCCAAGTCTTTTCTCCAGTTAGAGTGAGTGTGTGTGTGCGTTAATCATAAATAATTTGTAAATGAATTGAAGTTCATAGAAAAGTTCTTGAATTATCATTTTCATGGTGCTGGTTGTCTATCTCATAAGGTTTTTGACCCAGACTGAGTGTTTAACAATCCTCTTCCTCCTGCACACTGCCAATAAATAAATCCATTTGGTAACAACTTTACAAAGGCAATTGCTGTATCCATGGCTTTTCTTTAAAAATCAACCCCTCACACACTGATTAGGTCAGGGGTGGCCAACCTGCAG